CCAGAAGAAAGAGCAAACCTATTACTACTTTGCTCCAGACAGAGCTACAGTTGCTCTAAAGGCTCTTTTTCTTGGCTGGCTGGTCCAGCAGATGGAAAAGAGGTTCGCCTTTTTGTGGCTGGGAGAGAGGGGAGAGAGTACTGTTGACTGGAGCACTGGGTATCTTTGCTTGTTCTCTCCCTGCCTCAATGCACTCGCAGCTTGGGGAGGCTTCTTTCCCCTACTGCAAAGAGAATACGAGCTCAACCAGCTGGTGGCATAGGCCCTGCTTCTTAGTGGGCCATGCTAAATTCCTAGCGCCTCCTCTGCCTGCAGGTCGGCCGTATCGTGGCAAGCCCAGTGACATGTGGGCCCTGGGAGTGGTCCTCTTCACCATGCTCTATGGACAGTTCCCCTTCTATGACAGCATCCCACAAGAACTCTTCCGCAAGATCAAGGCTGCTGAGTACACCATCCCAGAGTGAGTGAAAGCAGGCCTTGGTCCTCCAGACACCCCTGCCTCCCCTGAACCACTGTCCTTTCTGGCTCCAGGGGTTCAGGCACTTGCTGCTTCCCCTAGCTCTTCACTGTTCTCCAGCAGGGATGGGCGGGTGTCCGAAAACACGGTGTGCTTGATCCGAAAGCTGCTGGTCTTGGACCCTCAGCAGCGCCTGACAGCCTCTGAAGTGCTCGAATCCCTCAGCTCCATAATTGCATCCTGGTGAGTGGGGAGAAGGGGTATGAGGGTGAGACCACAGGTGCTGCCCTGTGCTGGGATAGGAGGAACTGGAGTTGTTCTGCCCTGCATGTCAGCCCAAGCCTTGCCAGGTGAAGGGTGGGCTGGATCAGACTGCCTTCTCCATCAGCCTGAAAGGGATTGTTTGAAAGGGTCCTCTGGAGCAGTTTCTCTGACTCTCCATGTTTGGCTCCATGTTGACTGCACATTTTGGCACCCTCCTTGTTTTGCCTTTTCCTACTCCTCTGGCAAGAAAGCTATTTCTTGTCTCTAAGAACAGGACCTACCTTGAGATGCTGCCTTTGCAGCGGCCACAACTAGACAGACATTGGAAGAGCCTTTCTTGGGGTCTTTACCTGGGTAGTTGTAGATCCAGATCTAGATACATTTGTTGATGGGGAGCAACAAGGGGAGAGATGCTAAGGTGACCAGCCTTCAGTCATTTCTGGCCTCTAGGCTCTTCTTGGTTTCCTTTGGTGAAGGCATCATCCCAGCTCTGCAGTATGAGCCAAAAGGTGCTACACCTCTTCTCCCTCCCCCGCCCAGATGCAGAAGCATCTAGGAAAATAACTTGTATTGTAATGTGATTTGGAAGCAGTTGCTGCCCTGTGTACCCGGGTGTGCATTCTAACAGTCTCTTATGCCTGGGCTGACTGAAAAGTGCTCTCCCTGGGAGGAGCTTGGGCTGGACCAAACATTGGTGTCTAGTGAGATCCTGGCACTTGGTCCACCTACGCCCTGCTGATCTACAAGCCTTTGTCTCCTGCAGGCAGTCCATGTCCTCACTCAGTGGGCCCTTGCAGGTAGTGCCAGATGTCGATGATCAGGTGGTCAACCCAGAACATGTGCATGAGGTAAGATTTGCCATCCCACCCTGGAGAGGCCTTGTGGAAGTCACAGACTCAACATCATCCTAACCCCCACTGCTGACCTTCCATCCCCTCCTGAGCCTTTCCCAGGAGCTTCTTCCAATGCCTTGTGACCCCCTCTGCCCAGCGTATCTATCTGCACATGCGTTTGCAATGGAAGTGGTGATGGCACTGGCTAATCTAGTTCTAGCTCAGGATTGGACTGAGCTGATGACATTTCTGTGTCTGTTGCTGTCCCAACTCATCTCATGGGCTTCCCCCCTCAGCTAGTTTGGCATGGAATCAGTGCACACTGACATTTTCAACTGCCAGGAAATAAATGACATAGGAACATAAAAGTGTGTTCGTGTGTGCATGTGTGGAGAGAATAAGCACTGTGTGCAGAGGCTGAAGGCAGGCGTCTTCTGAAAGCTACCTGTTGAACTGTCAGCCCTGCTCTTAATGAGGCTGGGATTCTTGGGGACCAGGAAGCAGCAGCAGCAGTTGTCTTCCCTTCTGGTGGCAACAGGCAGTAGAGGGCTAGACATAGTTCTGGCACCCCTGACAGACTTTGTCCTTTCTGCAGGCAAAGGTAACCGAGGAGTGTTCACAGTACGAGTTTGAGAATTACATGAGGCAGCAGCTCTTGCTAGCTGAGGAGAAGAACACGCTCCACGAGGCAAAAAGCTTCCTACAAAAGCGGCAGTTTGGCAGCGTCCCTCCCGTGAGACGCCTTGGCCATGATGCCCAGCCCATGAATGCCCTGGACGCAGCCATTCTTGCACAACGCTACCTTCGGAAATAGCTCTCAAAGGGAGTGGGAGTCACGCTCCACCGGCCCAGCCTGGCGCAAGGGTGAGGGCCAGGCCTGGATTCCAGCAGTGTAGCAGTCTTCCCCTGTGTGCTGATGGGTCTTGCTTGCTGGGGTTTGCCCCAAGAGGACACGTGGAAGACAACTGGCTGGGACAACCGTCAGTGGATTTTAACTCCAATCATAGACAGTAGTCTGCTTTTACTCATGACTCTGAAATCTACCTCTCCGCCTTTTTTAACCACACTGTTCTCTGGACTGAAATGTAGAGCGGTTTTGGCAAAGGTTGCCCCAGCAGGCTTCTTTCCTGACACAAACTCTGGAAACCACGGGGATTGCATTTCGCGCCGTACGGTTTGAATAAGCTTAATCGTTTTTTCTCCATTGTCCTTCCCCATGGGTTTCAAAAAGGTAACTGTTTCTTAAATCCATTTCTGTTCAGTACTCTGTGTTCTGTTTTCAACTTAACCCCAGGTTGAATTTACTTTCTGCAAGCATTAATTTTGGACCCCAGTGTGACTATAGCCTTGGCAAATGTCTCATCTTTACTTCGAGCTTGTTGAACTGAGAAAATTTGCTTGCAGATTCCAGTTAGGGGAAGTTTCAGCCCAGAGCTGTTTAAAATGTAGCTTTTCTGGAGGCTGAAGTCTCCAAGTCACTTAATTATTTTGGATTTCCTGGGTGTTGTTTTGGTTTTGATTTTTAAAAATGGTAGCTTTTGAAAAGTGCAGTAATGTTACATTAATTCTGTTGATTTTTATCTCTTGCCCCATTAATCATGGAGGCATGTTTGAAGGGATAAATCTTTGATAATGTGAAAGAGGGGGAGTTGTCCCTTCCCTTTTCCTTCTACCCCATCCCACCACAGACCTCACCTCCATTTAGAAAAGCCCCCCTCCCCAAATCACGTGCTCTTGGCACACTCTTGCCATTGTTCTCTGGTCACAGCACTTGCCTGTATGAATAGGCTTGGGAGGAGGGAGGGTCCCTTGCTCCATGCTAGGATAGGGCTGGGTGATACCTGAGCCCTGTTCTTTGGACTATATATGCCTCTCTTGCCAGACAAGTTTTTCAGAGCATCCCATGGAGGTAATTCTGTTCCAGAGTCTCCTATTTCCCTTTCCCCTCCACTGCCAATTCATTTTCCAGCATCATTGGCTCTCCATGCATGCTGTCCTTTGGAAGAACTGGATCCTGGCAGCCTGGGGCAAGCCAGTCTGATGGGGTTTGCACAACATCTTCCTTGCGGGGGGTAGGGGGGTAGGCAGAGAAACCCTTGGCACCTTCACCAGCAGAAGATAACAATTTCCCAAGAGTGAGTGTGTTCATATGATTGAAGAAGTACAAGCAGATTTCTGGCTTTGTTGCACAGGGGAGATTTTCTCTTAGCCCGAGTTACAGGAGAAAAAATACAGTTCCAGCAGTGTCTGGAAATTTGGTTAAATACAAGTGAGACATATCCTGTCATTCGGAACTGCTGCCGAATGGGGTGCAACGTATCCTGGTCAATCTCTGGAAAATGACATAGGGGCATGCTTCAAAAGCTAGGCAGCTAGGCAGCTTCTCCCTCACCCAAATCAGGGCCATCGAGCAGTGTCCTTTCCAAACAGCTTTGCCCAGGGATGGTGGCAGGGGTCAGCAGCAGCAGCAGCATCCTTTGTTGGCTGAAGTGAAAGGCTGTGCACTTGGCCTTTGAGCTGCTTTTCCGCAGCCCTTCCAGGAAGCAGCCCTTTCTTCTCCAGGTGAGCTGTGCACAAGGGAGTCCTGAATGTGTTTCTCAGGGTGTGAGAGATGCACTTCTGATATCATAGCGATGAGGAAAAGCGCTCTCTGCAGGAATGTGCCCTCAAGAAGGAGCACTTGGAGGCATCACCTTCAGGACAACATCTCAACCTGCTTTAGGTTCCATCCCTAGTTGACATGTTCCCAGAGGAATGTTGGAAGTAAGTCATACCAAGCAGGAAGCACAAGTTGCCAGGGGAAGGAGCAGCTTTCTGCCCCTCTAGAAGGGGAGGTCTGGGGTCAGGAGGCTGTGCCAGGTGACTCATCTTCCAAATCCTTTGAATGGTAACTTATTCCTCCACAGCTCTGCCCCCTTCCCACCTTTAATTTTTTTTTCCCCCTTCCCAAGATAGTTAACAATGTGTCTGAGTGGTCTGGTCCTTTCCCACCCTTGACAAAAATAGCAATACTCCACTGATGTAAAGTTGGGTGTTCCACCATCTGTTGCAATAAAAAGCTGACTGGAAAGAGATGGAAAGGGAACCTGGGGTGGGGTGGGGGCCTGGAAAGAGGTGTTATGAGCTGCTGGGTTGGTCTGAGGGGATTTCAGGTTGGGTGAGACACCAGAGACAAAAATCCTATTGTAAAAAATTGCGAAGAGAATTTGTATAGAGACCTATTTTTGTATTACACCCAACTATCCCCGCATGCCAGCAATAAAATTTCATAATGTAGAATTAAAGCTTTCAGAAGTTTGGTTATTATTCCAACAGTCCCCCACAATTCCACAGTGGGATATGGAAAATTCAGAGTTCCTTTCTGAGATCCCTTTGCTCACCTTCTTTAATAGCTGTTTCTGGCCTGCATCTCTGGGGAGGTGTGTGGACGGTAGGTAGCAACACCTCATATCTTGGAAGCTACAAGTGGGGGGCAGCTCTGTCACCTGGCTTCGCCTCTGTCCGGTGGTCAGCTAAATGAGTAAATCATTCTGGAACATCCAAGCACAGAAATGTGTTTCCAATTACAAAGATCTGCATTGAATGGCAGTAAAAACACCACCAGAGAAGTTTCCATTAAAGAACTTTGCTGCGCTTTACCGCTGTAAGTTTTGGTACTGCAAAATGACTGTGTCACCTCCCGCAAACCTTGTCTTCTCAAAGCTAAATTTACCCAGCTTGTAAATTCGCAGGATTTCCAGACCCTTGACTATCTTTGTTGCTTTTCTCTGAATCTGTTCCAGTTTTATATACATCTTTTTTAAAGTGGGTTACCACTTTTTCACTTGTAGGACTAATTTGTTCAAAGACAACTTGGTTTCCATTGACGTTTCTCTGATCTTTTGTCTGACAAGACATCTCCAAATTCACTTGGAATTTTTCTTGGGATAGTTTGCATAAATACTCAGTCTGCATAAATACTAATCCATGGTTTAAAAACTTAACAGCTAAACCATAGCAAACCATATTACAGCCTAGTTTAATGGCTGGGTCACACAATCGTTTGTCCACCACCATTCCCCTTGGTCTTGTGCAAGAACCATCCTGCAGCTGATGTGAGATTCTTTGAAGGGAACAGCAGCCATCTTGTCTTCTGCATACCATGAAGGGACTTATGGATGCCAAAACAGTCAGCATGTACCAGATTTATCACCCCTTTGTAGCTCCAAGGTTTTCCGATTTCGTCTTCTGAAGAATGGAGATGATTGTTGAACTTAAGGTCTATGTGCAAACTGGACCTGGGGTTTGGAGTTCCTGGGGATGTCGGTGCTCTTGATGGGAATCAGAAGGGGTAAGGGCCTACCTTAGCTACGCTTTAGTTGGTCTGTTATTTTACTTGGGAGAGCAGAGGGTTAAATAGCAGTGTCAGATTGCATGGTGGGAGGACGCTGATTGTTTGGGTTTGGAATGCTGAGCAATAGGCAGAACCTGGGAGAGGGTTAGGATGGAATGTATATATGCTGGTCTATGACCGAAATAAAATTGATTGATTGGTTGATTGATTGATTGATTGGACTGTATGGATGGGGTCCTGGGACCTGGCAGAATGCTGGCAGGGATCAGGGAAGGTAAATGCATTGGGGGCAGGCAGGAACATCCTGGTGGTGATGAGGAAAGGGAAATAGGACGGGTATCGGGGGATGGGGTACTCACAGGGAATACAATCCACAGTCTTATACCAGTACAGGTAGTCCTCGCTTAAGGACATAATTGGGACCAGAATTTTCATCATGAATGTCTGTGCTGCTTAGCAATGGCAGTTCCAGCAGTCCCCAGTTACCATCGTTACGTAAATCACCACAGGTTGTTGTGAGGACCTCACACATTTGCGACTTCTGACTTCCTGCCGGCTTCCCTATTGACTTTGCTTGTGGGAAGCCAGCAGGGAAGGTCGCAAGTCACAATCCCATGACCACAGGATGCCACAACAGCTGGAACTAAGAGGGCTGGTACCGTCGCAAGTTTGAATGGTCGCTCCACGAGTGGTCGCCTGTACTGTATTCCTGCCCCCTGTGCTTGCCCCACTGAGCCTTAAAAAGGGTCACCCACCGAGCGTTAGAAACTCTGGGTTCCAACTATTGCTACCCAAGGCCGATTTGGTCTCTAACAAGGCTTACCTCATCCATGACCTAATAATAGATGAAAATTGAGAAATGGTTGGGTATGGGGTGGAGTGAGTTCCCCTCTCCAAAATGTGTCCATCTGGGTTTTGGGTGTGGCATCAGATGTGTCTCCAAGGCAGGGGGTGGGGAAGAGGCTATTGTTATCCCAGAGATTCTGGAGGTTGTCAGGAGCACTGCCCCATAGGTAGACAAGCATGGGACCATACTTGTGAAGTATTGCAGATCGGTTAGAGTTGCTGCTACTATATCAGCCTCTCTCCTGTGCAGCACCTTTCTTGTCTTTGCTGCTTGATGCTGTGGCTGGGTTGGCGGTGAAGTTCTCCAGGTGCTAGGGGACTTCAACATGCCTTCCTTAGGCAGAAGACATGGAGGCAGCTCAGGAGTTCATGGCCTCCATGGCTGCCATGGACCTGATGCAACTTTTTGAGTCCCCAACTCACTCTGTGTGTGTGTGTGTGTGAGACACATTAGACCTGTTTTTGGTCTCAAGGCAATGGTGGCGTGATCTGACATTGGGGGATATTGCCATCACTCCTGACAGGGACAGATCATGGCCTGTTAACTCTGGAGTTTCCTGTAGCAGTTCACCATCTCAGGGAGGAAGGACCTATTTGACTAGTCTATACCCAGGTGCCTGGTGGACACAGCTGGGTCTCAGGAGGCACTTGGGGTTACACGTAGTCCTCGCTTAACGACCATTCGTCCATTACCCGTACAAAATTACAATGGCCCTGAAAAAATGGACTTACAATCTGTGCCTGAAGTTATAGCTGTTGCAGACCCTCCATGGTCACGTGATCAAAATTCGGGCACTTCGCAGCATGCCTGCATTTAGGACCACAGGGGTGCTGCAATTCCCCCCACCCACCTATCTTCCTCCCAACATCTGTACCCTTTTGGCTGCCCTGCACAGCAGCTCTTGGCAGCAGCACCAGGGCTGGGGCTGAATTAGAGGCCCAAGGCCTTCACCCATCTCAGCCAGTTGCCACAGCCCCCAGGCCTCAACTTCACCCCCAGCGCCGCCACTACCACTGAGAAATGTTGCTTCAAGCCCCACACCACTGGCCTTCGCTGCCTCATGCTGCTCCCCCAGCTGCGCCTCTTGTTCCTTCCCCAAGCCAGCCTCCCATTCCTTCCCCAGGCCACACATCCCATGCCTTCTGCAAGCCAGCGTCCCATTCTCGCAATCCTTTGGAAACCTTTTGGTCTTCTCCAGGTCTTGCGAGAATGGGACGCCAGCTTGCAGAAGGTATGAGACACTGGCTTGCGGAAGGAACAAGAAGCACAGCTTGGGGAAGGTATGGGGCACGCGGCTTGCAAAAGGTATGGGACACGCGGCTTGGGGAATGAACAGGAGGGGTGGCTTGGGGAAGGAACGGGATCCCAGCCTGGGGAAGGAACGAGAGTTGCGGCTTGCAGAACGGCGCAAGGCAGCAAAGACCAGCGGTGTGGGGCTTGAGGCGGCATTTCTTAGTGGCAGTGGTGGTGCTGGGGCTGAAGTTGAGGTCTGGGGATGGTGGCAGCTGGCTGAGACTGCTGAAGGCCTTGGGTAACTACTTCAGCCCCAGTTCTGTGCAGGGTAGCCAAAAGGGCATAGATGGGGTGAAGATAGGTGGAGGGGGGCAGTTGCAGTGTCCCTGCAGTCGTAAGCACTGCTGGGCCAGGCTGCAGTGGCTAAGGCTTTGTGCTGCACTGCAGCACTCCCCAACTTGCGTGTGGCCTGCACCAGGCCTCCCCCGGCCTCCCCCACCCCCCTGGGGCACCCCCATGTTCCTTACCTGGTACTCTGCTTAACGACCTGCGATTCTTGCTTAACAGCAGCAGCCAGGAGTGCTGGGATTGCAGTTGCTAAGCGAAGTGGACATATGATAATTTGCTTAATGGCCACATTGCTTAGTGACCTAAATTCCAGTCCCAATTGTGGTCGTTAAGCAAGGACTGCCTGTATCCCTGAGGCTCTGATGCATGGTTGAGACCTTAGTCATTGCTTGGATTGCTTTGGACCTGATCAAGTCTGTGCAGATTCTCTCTGCACGTGGATCCTGGCGAGCCCCCTGGTCTACAGAGGATGAAGCAGCTGAAGGGGTGCCTATAGCACCAGTGAAGGAAAATGACGAGCAACCAAGCACAGGTAAGAGCCTTTTTATGCCCTACTTTGTGGCAATAAAAGTGGCAAAACAGTCTTATTTCTCTGCTCTTATTGTGTCCTCCACACGCCAGCTGGCAACCCTGTTCAGGGTGATGTGGCCCCTCTTGGATACAAAGGGGCGAGGGGCATACCTGCAGGGTTGCTCTGAGGATTATTCCCAACATTTGGTGGATAAAGTTGCTTGGACCCACTCTGGGTTGGACTTCAGCCATGCAGGCCTTATAGAATTGACCAAGGCTCCATCTTGCTTGATTATCCAGGAGGAGGAAGTCTCTGCTAGTCCTGAGGAAATGGACAGGGCTCTTGGGGCTGTTAGTGGACCATGACTGGTTAAGGCCTTGGATCCATGTAGTGACAAGTGAATCCTTGAGAGAGCCTGCCCCCTCCTCAAAAAGCCACAGCTGGATCCAACAGAAACGGACAATTTTTGTCCTGTCTCCAACTTTTTTAGAGAAAGTTATTGAGAAGGTGATCAGCCTGCAGCTCCAAAGACTCCTGGAGAAAGTGTATTATCTGGATCCTTTCATTCTGGATTCAGGCCAGGACATGCTTGACAACCTTCAGTGAGCTTAGGATGGGGGGAGTAGCCCTCAATCACTCAGGGGTCTCAGTACCATTGACCATGGTGTTATTCTGGACTGGATCAAGGGGTTGGGAGTGGGGGGCACACTGTTGCAGTGGTTCTCCTCCTCCTTCTGGGGCTGGTTCCAGTCAGTGTTGGTTGGGGGAGCAGTTTAGCCCAAGACTCTCAGAGCTCTACTCTGTCCCTGCTTTTGTTTAACATTTACATGAAGCTGCTGGGAGAAGTCATCCATTGGCATGGGTTGCAATATCATCAATATGCTGATGGTGCTCAATTGTGAATCTCTGTCCCAGGCCAACCAAATGATATGTCAAGGTTCTGTACCAGTATCTCGAGGCTGGAGGGGCCTGGATGGGGAAGAAGATGGACTTTGGCTGAA